GGTACATGGGGAGGGTCATGTAATTTGTAATTGATTAAATTTAAATATTTCATGAAATATATTTCATGAGAAGTTGTTTATCAGAATATGTACTGACTCTTTTGTTTAACAGCTTTTGGCAAATAATGGAGACAAACATCTTGGGGGTAAGTACAGCATACACTAACCTTTGTAGATGCACAAAAATACAGGGAAATCTGAGAAAAGTGTAAGATTGATTATAAGTCTAATTTGTTTGGTCTCAGGTCACTACAACTCCAATGTGGATGTTTATGTTGTAAACTACCCTAATACCCCTACTTATATTTTATAATGAACCAGGGAGAGACATATTTTTAAGTAGGTGTGGTGGATTGTTGAATTACGAGCTTCAGAACTTAATCAAGATTTAGCCTAACCCTTTCTCTAACCCTTTCTCTGGTTTTTACTGGACCAGCTGGACCGGGCAAGTTCAGCTTCATCAACTCCATCAACAATATCTTTCAGGACAAATGTTTGAGCGTTGCCCTAGCTGATAGTACTTCTGCAGGTGCAAGCTTCACAAAAAAGGTACATTCTTAAGTATTGCAGTGGCTTGCGAAAGTATTCACCCCCCTTGGCATTTTTCCTATTTCGTTGCCTTACAACCTGGAATTAAAATAGATTTTTGGGGGGTTTGCATCATTTGAATTACACAACATGCCTACCACTTTGAAGACGCAAAATATTTTTGGGGGTGAATTAAAAAAGAAATAAGTGTCACGATCGTTCAAGGAAGTGACGGACCAAGGCGCAGCGTGGTAAGCGTACATTTTATTTAATTAACGTACTTAACACACACGAACAAAAACAACAAACCAAACGATACGTGAAGTCCTAGGTTAACACCAAAACAAACCATACGGAACAAGATCCCACAATGACTAGTGCCAAACATGCTGCCTAAGTATGGTCCCCAATCAGAGACAACGAGAAACAGCTGCCTCTGATTGGGAACCACCCTGGCCAACATAGATCTACACGATCTAGATCAACAACATAGAAAATACAACATAGACACTACACACCCTGGCTCAACATTTAAGAGTCCCCAGAGCCAGGGCGTGACAGTCCCCCCCCCCCCCCCCCCCCCCCCCCCCCCAAAGGCGCGGACTGCGACCACGCCACACAAACACAAGAGGGTAGGGGCCGGGTGGGCATTCCGCCTCGGAGGCGGATCCGGCTCCGGGCGTGACCACCACCTTTTCTCCACCTCCCCGTTGCGCCCCTGGTCTGGTCCCGCTGACTGGAGCTGGACTGGACACCGGTGGAGCGGATTGCTCAGGCTCCGGAGTGGAGCAGCTGACCGGTGCCGGAACAGGCACCGGTGGAACAGGCACGGGCCGTGCCGGACTGGACACACGCACCACTGGCTTGGTGCGGGGAGCAGGAACGGGCCGGACCGGGCTGACGACGCGCACCACTGGCCTGGTGCGGGCAGCAGGAACGGGCCGGACCGGGCTGACGATGCGCACCACTGGCTTGGTGCGGGGAGCAGGAACGGGCCGGACCGGGCTGACGACGCGCACCACTGGCTTGGTGCGGGGAGCAGGAACGGGCCGGACCGGGCTGACGACGCGCACCACTGGCTTAGTGCGAGGGACAGGAACAGGCCGGACCGGGCTGGCGACGCACACCACTGGCTTAGTGCGGGGAGCAGGAACGGTCCGGACCGGGCTGGCGACGCGCACCACTGGCTTGGTGCGAGGGGCAGGAACAGGCCGGACCGGGCTGACGACGCGCACCACTAGCTTGGTGTGGGGAGCAGGAACGGGCCGGACCGGGCTGACGACGCGCACCACTGGTTTGGTGCGGGGAGCAGGAACAGGCCGGACCGGGCTGGCGACGCGCACCACTGGCTTGGTGCGGGGAGCAGGAACAGGCCGGGCTGGACTGGGAACACACACCATTGGCTTGGTGCGGGGAGCAGGAACAGGCCAGGTTGGACTGGGAACACGCACCATTGGCTTGGTGCGGGGAGCAGGAACAGGCCGGGCTGGACTGGGAACACGCACCATTGGCTTGGTGCGGGGAGCCGGAACGGGCCGGGCCGGACTGTGGATACGCACCACTGGCTTGGTGCGGGGAGCAGGAACAGGCCGGGCTGGACTGGGAACACGCACCATTAGCTTGGTGCGGGGAGCCGGAACGGGCCGGACTGTGGATACACACCACTGGCTTGGTGCGGGGAGCAGGAACGGGCCGGGCCGGACTGGGAACACGCACCACTGGCCTTGTGCGGGAAGCAGGAATGGGTCGAGCCGTACTGGGAACACGCACCACTGGCTTAGTGCGGGGATCAGGAACGGGCCGGACCGGACTGGTGACACACACCACTTGCTTGGTGCGAGGAGCAGGACTGGGTTTCCTTATAAACCTCCGTTCCCTCTGCTGCCTAACCAGCTCCTCTCGCCGTGCCTCTACACTCTCCTTCTCCCTTAACACCTCCTGTAGCTCCTCCCTCTGACCAATTAACTCCTGCTCCCTCTGACCAATAGCCCCCGTAACCTGGTGGCCTCCTCTCCTAGTCTGCAGATACGTCCTGTCGCTGCCTCCTGCTGCCCCGTCGTCCACGCAGTGTGCCCCCCCAAAACATTTTCTTGGGGTTGCCTCTCGGGTGTCTGTCGTCGGCACGGTTGGCGCCGTTTCTCCTCTCCTGCCTGGCCATTTTCATTCATCGCCCTCCGGTAACGGACGGCCTCCTCCTCCGTGATTCTCCCCCAACCGAGGAGGATATCTAATAACGTAACCTCCGGCGTTTGCTCCTGGACACGCTGCTTGGTCCTCTTTTGGTGGGATCTTCTGTCACGATCGTTCAAGGAAGTGACGGACCAAGGCGCAGCGTGGTAAGCGTACATTTTATTTAATTAACGTACTTAACACACACGAACAAAAACAACAAACCAAACGATACGTGAAGTCCTAGGTTAACACCAAAACAAACCATACGGAACAAGATCCCACAATGACTAGTGCCAAACATGCTGCCTAAGTATGGTCCCCAATCAGAGACAACGAGAAACAGCTGCCTCTGATTGGGAACCACCCTGGCCAACATAGATCTACACGATCTAGATCAACAACATAGAAAATACAACATAGACACTACACACCCTGGCTCAACATTTAAGAGTCCCCAGAGCCAGAGCGTGACAATAAGACAAAAAAACAGAAAACTTGAGCGTGCATAACTATTCACCCATCCAAAGTCAATACTTTGTAGAGCCACCTTTTGAAGCAATTACAGCTGCAAGTCTCTTGGGGTATGTCTCTATAAGCTTGGCACATCTAGCCACTGGGATTTTTGCCCATTCTTCAAGACAAAACTGCTCCAGCTCCTTCAAGTTGGATGGGTTCCGCTGGTGTACAGCAATCTTTAAGTCCCACAAATTCTAGATTGGATTGATGTCTGGGCTTTGACTAGGCCATTCCAAGACATTTAAATGTTTCCCCTTAAACCACTCGAGTGTTGCTTTAGCAGTATGCTTAGGGTCATTGTCCTGCTAGAACGTGAACCAGTCTCAAATCTCTGGAAGACTGAAACAGGTTTCCCTCAAGAACTTCCCTGTATTTAGCGGCATCTATCATTCTTTCAATTCTGACCAGTTTCCCATTCCCTGCCGATGGAAAAACATCCCCACAGCATGATGCTTCACTGATGAGAGGTGTTGGGTTTGCGCCAGACATAGCGTTTTCCTTGATGGCCAAAAAGCTCAATATGAGTCTCATCTGACCAGAGTACCTTATTCCATATGTTTGGGGAATCTCCCACATGTCTTTTGGCGAACACCAAACGTGTTTGCTTATTCTTTTCTTTAAGCAATGGCTATTTTCTGGCCACTCTTCTGTAAAGGAGTGTACGGCTTAAAGTGGTCGTATGGACAGATACTCCAATCTCCACTGTGGAGCTTTGCAGCTCCTTCAGGGTTATCTTTGGTCTCTTTGTTGCCTCTCTGATTAATGCCCTTCTTGCCTGGTCCGTGAGTTTTGGTGGGCGGCCCTCTCCTCGCAGGTTTGTTGTGGTGCCATATTCTTTCAATTTTTTAATAATGGATTTAATGGTGCTCCGTGGGATGTTCAAAGTTCTGATATTTTTTTATAACCCAACCCTGATCTGTACTTCTCCACAACTTTGTCCCTGACCTGTTTGGAGAGCTCCTTGGTCTTCATGGTGTCGCTTGCTTGGTGGTGCCCCTTGCTTAGTGGTGTTGCAGACTCTGGGGCCTTTCAGAACAGGTGTATATATACTGAGATCATGTGACAGATCATGTAAAACTTAGATTGCACACAGGTGGACTTTATTCAACTAATTATGTTACTTCTGAAGGTAATTGGTTGCACCAGATCTTATTTAGGGGCTTCATAGCAAAGGGGGTGAATACATATGCACACACCACTTTTCCGTTATTTATTTTTTATAATTTTTTGAAACAAGTAATTTTTTTTATATATATTTGTAACCTATATCTAACATACTGTAACTGTATGGTCTAGAACAGGGTTAGGCATCTAGATTCAGCCGCAGGCCGATTTTTGTCGGAGTGTATGGTCGGTGGGCCGGAACATAATTATAATAATTTGTACACTGCAAATTGACCACATCTAAGTCCAAAAAGAGATAGTATTTGAAAATAATAATTTCATACCTTGATTACAGAGACACGATCACATATCTCTTATTTTATTTGTGGTAGTACTTGGGAACAGATGGTCTTAATTAAATGCATATTTTGCTGAATTCCTGGTGATCTTAAAATATTTGTTACAAAAAAAATTACTTGCGGGACGGTTTTGACCCGCTGGCCGCCTGTTGCCGACCACTGGTCTAGAAGGTAGACAATTGAAATGAGTATTGAATTAATGCAGTATGGTTTTGATACAGTACGTAGCTGTAATTTTGCAATGTATTTTTACAGTATGAAACCCACAAAATTGTGTAAGAAAAACCTGGAACCTACTACCCCTTCCTCTTCTATGATGTCATGGGCCTGGAGAATGGTATTGACAAAGGAGTTGATGAGGCGGACATTATCAAGGCCCTGAAGGGGCATATAAAAGAGGGTTACACGGTAAGAACTGAACACAGCAACTTCTCAGTCTGTAAATATGTTTGCTGTATACAGTACCAGTCAAACGTTTGGACACACCTACTCATTCAAGGGTTTTTCTTTATTTTTACTATTTTCTACATTGTAGAATAATAGTGAAGACATCAAAACTATGAAATAACACATATGGAATCATGTAGTAACCAAAAAAGTGTTAAACAAATCTAAATATATTTTATATTTGAGATTCTTCAAATAGCCACTCTTTGCCTTGATGACAGCTCTGCACACTCTTGGCATTCTCTCAACCAGCTTCACCTGGAATGCTTTTCCAACAGTCTTGAAGGAGTTCCCACATATGCTTAGCACTTGTTGGCTGCTTTTCCTTCACTCTAACGTCTGACTCATCCCAAACCATCTCAATTGGGTTGAGGTCGGGGGATTGTGGAGGCCAGGTCACCTGATGCAGCACTCCATCACTCTCCTTCTTGGTAAAATAGCACTTACACACCGTAACACCTCCTCCTTCATGCTTTACGGTGGGAAATACACATGCAGAGATCATCCGTTCACCCACACTGCGTCTCACAAAGACACGGCGGTTGGAACCAAAAATCTCCAATTTGGACTCATCAGACCAAAGGACAAATTTCCACCGGTCTAATGTCCATTGCTTGTGTTTCTTGGCCCAAGCAGGTCTCTTCTTCTTATTGGTGTCCTTTAGTAGTGGTTTCTTTGCAGCAATTCGACCATGAAGGCCTGATTCACACAGTCCCCTCTGAACAGTTGATGTTGAGATGTGTCTGTGACTTGAACTCTGTGAAGCATTTATTTGGGCTGCAATTTCTGAGGCTGGTAACTCTAATGAACTTATCCTCTGCAGCAGAGGTAACTCTGGGTCTACCATTCCTGTGGTGGTCCTCATGAGAGCCAGTTTCATCATAGCGCTTGATGGTTTTTGCGACTGCACTTGAAGAAACTTTAAAAGTTCTTGAAATATTCCGTATTGACTGACCTTCATATCTTAAAGTAATGATGGACTGTCGTTTCTCTTTGCTTATTTGAGCTGTTCTTGCCATAATATGGACTTGGTCTTTTACCAAATAGGGCTATCTTCTGTATACCATGTCACAACACAACTGATTGGCTCAAACGCATTAAGAAGGAAAGAAATGCCACAAATTAACTTTAAGAATGCACACCTGTTAGTTGAAATGCATTCCAGGTGACTACCTCATGAAGCTGGTTGAGAGAATGCCAAGAGTGTGCAAAGCTGTCATCAAGGCAAAGGGTGGCTATTTGAAAAATCTCAAATATATTTTGATTTGTTAAACACTTCTTAGGTTACTACATGATTCCATATGTGTTATTTCATAGTTTTGATGTCTTCACTATTATTCTACAATGTAGAAAATAGTACAAATAAAGAAAAACCCTTGACTGAGTAGGTGTGTCCAAACTTTTGACTGGTAGTGTATAATAAACATTCTTGTTTTTCACTCTTTTTCACCAGTTTAATCCCGTATCACCTTTAACAGAGGGGAATAAGTACTATGTGAAGGCCCACACTCTGACACAGTTCACTGCCTAGTTAGTGCAATACCAGCTGATAAACTACCTATGATCAATGCCAACAAGAATGATGAGAAGAATGATGTCTTCAAGAAGATGAGAGCCATCAGACTAGCAGCAAGTTACATAGGTAACACGTGTTTATGGAACATTGTTTATAATATATAATGTTGGCGGCAGGGTCTCATCATACAATTGACTAGTCGGTGCATATCAGCCCATATCAGAGCAGAGTTTGAACCCTTGGGCGCGTTCAGCAGGACACAACGTTTTGGAATGTTCAGATAGAAATATGTTGTGTAGAACAAACATGCCTCTCCGACATATAGACCATGGAATCATGTCCGCTCTATTCATGGCAATTCTATCTGCAAAATTCAACAACGTTTGGAAAATGAATGTTGCCCTGGTCTTGAACTCAGTTTTAAATATGTGTTTTTTCACAAATAATACAGTATATTTTCATGTAAAATAAACAAATTACTTAATACATACACAAACTGACATGATACTTTAGACCTTTAGTAGTAATAAGATGGAAGAGACACAAGATTCAATTGGTTTCCATGTATTTGGCAGGGATTCCCCAAATGGTTATTCTCACCAAAGTGGATGTAGCCTGTCCATTGGTGAGGAAAGACCTGAGAAAGGTCTATCTGAGAAAGTATATAAAGATAAAGGTAAGTTAATTATATTTTTTACGTTTTGCTAGAAATGCAAGTATTTGCAGATTTGGCGCTCCATAGTCTCACTTGATGAGGAAAACATTTACATGTTATATCTGTCGGGAGACTGTGTCATATGACTAATAATGTGGAACAATTATTTTGGTGGTTTTGTGTTACTGGCTATTTGGATTAATCATGTACGATTTCACAGTTTTCATTAGTTTCATATCCTGGACTGGTTCTGGGTTGCCAAGATATGCACTCCTGGACCATAGGCCCTGGCCTACAGTATGAAATAAATGGTTTGAGGGAGGACTTTAATTTGTGCTTTCTCGTCTCCCTGGGAGATACATGTCCAAATGTATTATTCTACTCATCTGATTGAATTCCAACTATATTCTTTATTGCAGATGGAGCAGTGTAGTAATGAACTGGGAGTACCAGTAGGCTGCATTATGCCTGTTTAAGAACTACCACGAGGAAATCTATTGAGATCACTGAAGCAGATGGTGGACTTTGCAGAGGGCTTCAAGCTATCACAAGCTGACTGATGGATATACAGTACTCTATCTACAGCGTGTCACTGTATAATACCTCCATCTAAAGAAGCCCTGTTCACACCTGGTATTTACACCTGACTTTTGTGATCCAATCACCATGATCTGATTACTCTCCAACTATGGTCCAGTGCGTCCACAAAAGGGTTGGCATCATTTCTGAATTGAACTGAGAATACATTTAGAATTTCATTCAATTCTTGAGTTTGAATTATAATTGTCTGTACTGTAAAATCAACTGCTACCCAATCTACTTATCTCTACTCTGGGAAAGGTATTTTGAAGTCTGTTATTTAGTGTTGGTAGGGCATTCATTAAACAATAGTGTCAGTCCTCCTTTACCTATCATAAGGTTCAAAGTGAACTTGTGACTGTATGAAAGGACTAAGCATCCATGTCTATGCTCATATTTTATAAAGTGAGTGTCATAATTGTTGAAATTCCTGTTATTTGTAGTCCTGGATGATTTACTGTACATTTACAGACTATAGATTAAGATTAAGATCACTTTGTTGGTCAATTGCACACAAGGTCCAACCAAAATGTTAAATTCCGCTTCTAACCCAACCTCTCTGAAAGACACACATACATACACATTCAGGTTTTGGAGAGGGGTGGGAGCCTGCCACACTGGGTGCCCTGGGAACTGTTGTTGTGGGGGGGGGTTAAGTGACTTGCTCAAGGGCACAACGGGAGGCAATGACATTTGGGAATTGACACCAGCAACCCTCCGGTTACCAGCTCACTTCCCCCCAGATTTTTCCCGTCGGACCCGGGACTCGAACTGGCAACCCTCTGGTTGCTGGCTCGCCTCTCTAACCTGACATCGTTGAAAATGTGCATTCCAGTGGCATGACTCCTATATATGTGTTTCCTAAATTAAGTGTAAATTAACTCTCTCTATTGCAGATATGGTGCTATGCAACGTCAACACACCTCTGAGGACACAGAAACAGACTAGGTTTAAATAGTGTGTCTAGAAATTGTGTTTTCAAATAGTGATATCATCTAAGACAAAACACTAAGACAACATGGTCACGTGGAACACAAAAAATTGATGGATTGTTTGGTACTTTCAAAAGGACATAACCTGTTCTTACCAATTAGATCAATCAATTTCCCTATCAGCTTCAGGCATGACAAAAGTGAAAGTAAAAGTTAGAGGCCCTACTTACATCAGTGTAGTCTAGCCACAGTATCCGGGCCACTGTTGTTAGGCAAGCATTTACTGGTTAACCTAGTGCTATTGTAATCATATAATTTTTGGGTTATCCATTATTTCAGTTATTTCAGAGAATATACTCTATCAGGTATGCTCCGATAGCATAATTTATGGTTTTATTAATCTGTTTATTCCACGTTTCAGTCTATTGACCTTCATTGGTATTTATCTTTTTTTTTAAGACATTACTAGCTTGATCACATGTTCATGGGAACAGGAAGAACAGGTTAGAAATGTCTCTCTGAGGTTAGAGATGTCTATCTAAGGAGTGTGAGTTCTAAAGAAGTCATGTGATTTACTAGAAGAGCACAGTGAAATTAGGGGAAGTCAGTAACCAGGTTTCCATCCACCTTTTTATGTAAAGTACATGTTGGATAAAAAATGTCACGACAGGCCTGATGGAAACAGGAAACTGTTTCACAGGATTGCAACCACCTTTGAAATAATAAATGGATAATTATATATACATATTATATTATTTATACCAGCATTTATTTTGAAAGTGTACACAAATGTTGAAGCTATTGTGCAGGCTATATTTAAAGAAATACACAAAATAAAATACAAATATATGTTATTGGAATTACTCAAAAGAGTCTGGAAAACCTGAAATGGTCTCGTGTGCTGGGCAACAGGTTTAATACAGAGTGCTTAGTCCTAGCTTTTCACTCTGCCCCATCCAATGGAAATCACTGTAAATGGTATACATCTTTGGTTATAGAGAGAAAACTTTACTACCTGTCTCATCATCTGGGGTGGGAAATCGGGTCTTTACTAACCAAATATGGTTCGTTTTTGAGGGGGACTGTGTCGCATGGCCTGCTGCTGGCTTTTCACTCCACCCCCTCCATAGGCCCCAATGCAATACACTGTAACACACTGTATTGCATTGGGGGCTATGGAGGGGGTGGAGAACGAAGTGCTGCTGGATATGTACAACACAGCCACTCAAATACTAAACCTATTTGATTAGTAGAGACCCTATTGAGCATTTCCCACCCCACTTTAGCTGAGACAGGTAGAATGGTTCTCTCTCTACAACCCAATATGCATCCCATGTACAGTATTGCATTGGGGGCTATGGAGGGGGTGGAGAACGAAGTGCTGCTGGTTCAATTCAGTCAAGAAACTCCTTTACAACAAAGCTATGGGGATTGCGCTCTAGCGCCCTCTACTCAATAACTTTAGAATCATGCCTGACAAGGCTAGAACGACCACGTGCCTCACCGGAAGCCCCTCCTTCCATATAATATAACCTGAGGCATGGATGAGGTCATTCCTTCAATTCTTCTACTCTTCACCTCGTGCTGATCGGAACGATTCACACATTTTCTCTGACAAACATTGGAACACGAAGTATATCAAGCTTTACGCTGATTTAACTGTTCCACTTAAGGGGAGCGTGCTCACCCTTTTGGATTTTGTGTGTTAAAGTTTGGTAGTTGATTTCGTGAGGTTTCCAAACAAATTAGGTTTGCTAGTTATTCTTCTGCCTGTTACGCTGAGCTAACTGTAAGTAAGATGGCTATTAGCCTACGAGCGATTCGAGAAAGGCAGGCAAGCCGGGTTAGGGTTAAAGACCATGCCCAAATAAAATAAAAGATGCTCACGTTTTGTTGTCTGGTATGCAGTGGCGGCTCCTGAAAAAATTCTCAGGAGGGGCAATTTTTCTGATGATTTAGGTGACCTACACACATTTTAAAAAAGATATGTCCAGCAACAACATGAAGACAGGGGCAGCATATAAGTCAATACCAGAAGCATTTATTGACTGATCTGGGGAGATGGATTCCAGTTTCTGTGACAGATTATAAATAATCTCTGATGCCTTTGTTATATTAGCTTTTGGTTGAATGTACTGTCATAGTAAATATATAATGTTATAGCTTGGTCTGACTAAAATCTTGTGCATGTTTGTGTTGGGCGTTTGTTTTCAATCAATGCTGTTCCTATCCTATAACAATGGACAAAAGAGTCCTATCTTGTCAGCCTTGTCAGCAGGTGGCCAAGGACAACACCCACGCCATAGGTCTCTCAGTTCTTCCAACTCACGAGTTCTTGCTCTGAGGACACACACACACACACACACACACACACACATCATCACTGATAACACACACACACACACACATCATCACTGTTAAACACACACACACACACACACACAAAAATCCCCTCTCTTTAGGCTGAACATTTGAAGACAGAGAACCCGACTCAGAGCCAATGCAACAGTGGAGGGGACCTCGCCCAACTCATCAGGACCAATCAGAAGATCAGAACTACTAGATTCAACCTACATCATTTATTGTATAAAATGTCTGCACACAATGTTTTCGGGGCTCTCTTCTCCCTAAGAGTTTGACGAACGAGTCTGTGCACGCGATTCCAGATATCTTTACCTCTGAATAAACTGCCTTTATTATACCATATCCACCCTGTCCAAAGTCTCTACTTGGTCTCAGTTCTCCAGTAAACTTGTGATTATCAACAGTACACAACGGTAACAAACAATTGGGGGAACTCACGGGGCAGATAGTAAGGTCGCAATGACACAGAAAGCAGTTCAATGTCGGGGTACAGAGTCGCTCTCTTACCAGGATCGCGGTCCGCTCTGACCAGGGTGAAGCCGGCCGGCTCCACTTCTCTGTCCGGGACTCTGTCATCCAGCCAAGTCTCCCAGCTGTATTGGGATTCCGCTGCCAGCAGCGTTTTCATTATTTAGTCCGTTCGTAGCGGGTATGTACACGATCAACAAGATCAGTCCAAAACCAACCACTGGAAATCCATGGTTGGCAGAATGTTTGTAAACTAAGTCTACAAATTAAAAACATAAAATAACGCCACACTGCAGGTCGCAACAGAGACGCTGCTAGCCGCTATTGTCTTAGTTACGTTCATGGTTACGTCACGTATGACGAAAGCGCGTAAGTGCAAGCCCACAGACACCCATAGAGAATGTATTGAAAGCTTTGAAATTTGAAAAAAATAGATTTTACATGACAGGCTATGAGAGACTTCTGGGCGATTTTCAACTTGACTGAAATCGCCCCAAAAACGGGCGGGGCCATTTGAAGCACGACTTTAGCCTGATTTGACATTTAGTGGCTGGCAGATCAGACGTGAACACTGATAACTACTGTTGCCGTGATATAATTGATTAGAAAAAATTCTCAGTGCGGGGTATGCTCCAGCTGCCCCCACTAGGGTCAGCTTTTGTGTGGGATGAAGGGACAATGTCAGGACAGTGGCTTGTCCTCGGCTGGCACTGTTCCCCTAGTCCATGGCGTGTGCAGGTTTCCTTGACCCGGGGATGAATTGGGCCGTTGGCAGTGATGTGTATTCATGTCTGCCAAGGGAAGCCGGGCTTCTCCAAAAAACTGGACAAAGAAAAAAACATAAAATAATGTATCTTTTGTCTCTTTGTGCTTCCTAATTTTCCTTCGATTTGCAAGAGCGGAGAAAGCATCTGAGTGAGCGAAACAGCGTCTGTCTCTGTATGTGAAGTCCATCTATCTGATGCTGTCTGGTCAAAAATAATATGATACTGTTGCTGCCCATTGCATTGAATACAAGGGAAGCCAGTGAGCATTTGGCCTCCCTTGATAAAAAAATACAAGATTATAGCCAATCAGCATCAGCTAAATTGAGTGAGCTCACCAAAAACAAAAGTTTTTTTCACATCACCCCA